TGCCATATTCCTTTAATCTCAACTTAATCATGTTTTACTGTAATAGGCCATGGGCCGTTGTGTGAAAAAGTGCTTGGAAAAGCAATTTCTGTGGTTCAATGCACAGTACCAGAGATGCCCAATTACCACAAGTTCCCAAGCAAAAAAACTTGCCAAACACCGAGAAAATGGGTGATCAGTGATTATCCTCTATTAAATTGTATTACAGCGAAAAAATGTGAAATTTTGTATTAATTACAACAAAAATAACTAGCATCATCGGAAAGCTTACAAAAAACATATAAGACATTTAAACAGTTTTTTATATCTCAAATTGTTTTCGAGTTATACGCTGTCAAAAACGCGTTTTTGACCTAGTACCCAGTCCTTATTGCGACATTTTGGTCCAATTTTCACATTTAAAACAGCAATAACTCAAGGACTATTTGAAGGATCAAAAAACTGTTTGAATGTCTTATATGCGGTTTTTTTTAAGCTTTCTGATGATGCAAGTCTTTTTTGTTGTAATTGAATACAAAATTTCACATTCTCTTGCTATAATACAATTTAATAGGGGATAATCACTGATCACACATTCTCTCTGTGTTTGGCAAGTTTTTTGCTTGGGAACTTTTTGTGGTAGTCGAGTGTTCATGGTACTATGCATTGAATCACAGAAAATCTATTCCCCAAGGGGTTGCCACTAAGTGAAATAATTTTGGACTATAAGTAATAGTTCAAATACGAGCAGGAGGAGAAACACAGAGAAGAGTTGAAAATATAAGGCGTAGGCGAGTAATTTTTAACAAATTTCTAGGTGTTTTGAAATGGGAGGATATCCTCCTTAATTAACAGTACTTGAACTTACTTTTCAAACGAACATGTATTTTGCGAGAAAGCGGACTAGAAAGTTCCCTTAATTTATGTAATTTCTTCCTCCCATTTCGAAATACCCATGCCACTTATGATTTCTCTTGCGTTTGGCTTATGCATTATTAATGAGTTTGAGAACTCAAATTCTACTAATTAAAGGAAAACTGGAACTGAAACACAAAAAAGTAACCACGAAAATCTCAAATTCAAGTCTACTTCATTAACATCTTAAAATTGTTTACTTGCCACATAACAGAACATAAACAGGATTACTAATTTGTTCAATATAATATCACAAGGTAACACCAACCTTGCTATAACGCATGCTTCTGTTCATAATAGTCTATAAGACACTGTTTTCATCGACGAATAAAAGTTATAATACTGTTCATAAAATACAATACAATGGAATACTTACATAGTCCAGTCAATCTGTGACCAGAGGTCAAAGAAATTGCAATAGAATTTTTCTCGGTGGTAAAATGTGAGGGAAGGTGTCCTGATTAACATACTAAAAATCAAAAAATATCCCTTCGGTGGAACATGGTGAAAATTAAGTTTTTCTTACTTCTACCTATAGAAAACCATTGTGGACAGAATGTTCAAATTTTGAATTCATTTTTAGGCAAATGTAACCTACATTATTGGAAAGCTTAAACAAAACTATATTAAGGTCAATTAAACCGTTATATTCAATTTACTGGTCAGTTTGTCGTTATTCTAGCTCAAAGTTGGAAAAATAGCGCAAAATTTGCACAAAATACAAATTTATGGCATTTTAAATCTTGTATAACTTCGGCTGGATAGGCAAAAGCAAGGTAACCGTTTAGTGATCTATATTTTAGTTTTTTCTAAGCTTTCCAATGATGCATGTTATATTTGCAAAAAATATTTTCAAAATTTCAACATTTTTTCCGCAATGGTTTTCTGTAGGTAGAAGTAAGAAAAACTTGATTTTCACCATGTTGCACCGAAGGGATTTTTTTTTATTTTTAATATGTTAATCAGAAAAACTTTTCACACACTTTACTACTGAAAAAATCTATTGCGATTACTTTAATTGATCAGGACCATGTACTAATGGTGATTTGACTGGACTAATAATTATGAAATTCATTTGTATTATTGGAGTAAAATGAATAAATTTTTATCACATAAATTTCAGCGTATTAGTCTTCAGGCAGCCCTAAATGAATGTTTCTTGTTTTTGAAAGGTCTTTATAAATTCACAGAGTTTGAGAATATTCAGCGAAAGCTACTAGGGGAAAATCACTTGTCCAGCATTCGCTCTTGCATAGACAGTCTACTCGTCATAAAAGAAGTCAGACTGTAAATGCAAGAACGAACGCCACGCCAGCGATTTCTTATGGTGTCCAAAAGCTGATGCACACCACAAAGTTTCTGTGATAAAATTGCATAGTCAAACTTAACTCAACCTTTTTGAAATGAAAAAAATCTGTTCTTGAAATAGGTTTCGACCTAAAAATACTGTAACAATAGAAAGGTCGAAAATTGTTTCATTGTTACTCCATTTGGACAATAAATTATTTGCATGCATGCCAAATATACTTCGATGGAGCAAGCCAAATATTTTACTAGAGAATCGAAAAGTTAAACTTTCTAGCAACAAAAATCTGGTAAGGCATTCCGTTGCAAAAGCCATCACTTTTAGACTACAATCTGAGGATCGAGGAATGAGGGTCTTCCCGAAATGCAGTCATAATTATTCAAGATATTTATTCTCAACGCGCTGTTCAATTAAAAACTGTTGAAATGTATTGCGATATTTGCTGTGAAGATTTCATTTTCTGAAAAGTATGTTTTGATAACTTTTTTGCTTAGTAATTTAATAAAATAAGTTTTGAATAATTTTATATATAATAAATATATATCGCATTTTACTTATGTTAAATTCCCATTGTATTTATGCATGTTTTGGGTCAGTGAACATGACCTACAAAGTGGCATTGAAATATTCAGGAGTGAATTGTACGTTTTTACATACAAGGAAACTAAAATAAAATCACATCAGAGTGAATTCAGGAATGTTTACTCTTTATAATGATACTTAAAAACATGAATTTACTCCATAAAACCACAATACCCTGATAAACCGTAAATATACACTGTAAATATATATGCAATTTTTTTTACAAACCTAACTAGTGGCCTACATTAAAAAGCCTGAAAAGGTTTCCAGTAGGTCTCTAGCCCAACACCTTCAAACTACACATAGTTTTTGTTACTTATTATTGTACATACACATGGGAAATAAATATATGATTGATTGATTGATACACGAAGAGTCATATCGCGGTTTGAAAATGAGCTATTTTTACTATTATAGAATATGGCAGAAATAGCTCATTTTCAAACCGCGATAACTCTTCGGTTTTATCACAGTTAATAGAATGAGATGGTTTGGAGAGCCGGCAAACTTCAAAGGGGGGCGGCAAATATGTTGCGCATCAAAGGACAAAAAAATCACGTGACTGATAGTGTGCATCGCCTCAGGACAAATAGTATAGAATTACATAGGTTTCCAGCTGTCTCAACAGATTGCGATATATTTTTTTGCCTGAAACTTGTGTCATGGATGCGGAAGAGAAATTGCAGGAAGAACAAGAAATGAGGGAGGGTTTGGAGCAAGATTCAGACGAAGAACCGGAAGAAACACGCGATTTTGTGCCTGTGTTTTCAACGAGGAGTGAACAAGAGGATATTATGCCCGACGCACGTGTATTCTACAACATAGATATTGCTCTTGAACTCATAGAAACTGACGATCAAGAAGTAGAAAATGTATTTGCAGAAGCTGTGACTGAAATTGAAGGCTTGAAATCGTTTCCCTGTTCAAAATGCAGCAAAATATGCAAGTCGAAAGGCGGATTGACCAGGCACACTAATTCGAAACATGGCGATAGTGTTTCAATTTCTTCGACTACAACACCGCTTTGTTATGAGACCATAACTTCGATTGTGGATACGATAAAAGAAAACATTGTTAAAGAGAAGCTGTACGGGGAAAATATAAATGCTGCGGTGGAAAAGGCTATAGCGACTAAAGAATTGTTCGACGAAGTGTTGCCTTTATACACAAAATTTTCTCAAAGCCGAAATCAAGATAAACTTCTCCAGTCGTTTTATGGGTTAATGCCAAAGTCCGCGGAATTACTAAACTGTACGGATTCGCGAGTTGCAAACCTTGTCATGATCCACATCCCCGATCATTTGGTTGGATTTTTAAACGTGCAAAATGTTTCCCAAGAAAGAGACACAGAATCTGCACCTGACTGCAAAATTGAGTCAAGCGAACATGGTCCTCTCTCCTATATTTCAGGGTATGTAATTTCAAAGTTAAGTAGAGCATCAAAGTCTAAAGAGGAAAACAATGAACTTCAAACCTTGTTACAGAATTTAAAATCAGAACAAGAAAACAACAGTTACATTTTAGCCCGAACAAGAGGTGGTCTTGTAACACCTTGTGAGGATATTGTAAGAATTTTACATGAAGCAGAGATTTGTTTCAGAAAGGAAGTTGACAAGTCAAAGCTGGCTATTCGAAACATTCCTGTCGATGCAATCTGCTATTCCACCCTTTCCTTACCAATTGTCAAGTCATTATGGCAAAATATTGTTATGTCATCTGGTGTCAATCCATCTGGTGATACCCAGAAGTTATGCCTTGAAAACATTGTCAAACTGTATTTGAAGGTGAGATCATTCTCATATGCCAGAGACTATATCTCCCGACATAGAATAAAAGAGAAGCAAAGTTCGAACTTGTCATAAACATGTAGACAGAACAATATAAATACGCTATGTCAATATCCTTTTTTCATGTTTATATACTTTAAATATATTATCTATATTATATTTTTTGGATTCTGGTCTTATTTTAACCATCAAGACTTAGCCTGTTAGCCAGGTCCCTAGGTCCTTTCACTTTATTCAAATTTGATTGCTATAATAACAATATACAGCTAATTCAAAAACTTAAACCTTAAACCCTGACCGTGCGAGGGATGATGGGTTATTGCTTATTTAGACTCAAACTATGAAATTTGGCTTTGCGAGACTACCTAAGACATATAGAAGACTCACGACAGAAAACATACTTGCCGCAAAGACAATTTTCCGAGTTTAAGGGTCTAATAAGTGAAAACCCATCATCCCTTGCACGCTCAGAGTTTAAAGGTTTTAGAAGGACAACCTTAATTGAATCAGCTGTATTAACAATCAGCATGCATGAATACAAAATGTTGTTTAATTTGCTCATGTGAATGATCCCCCTGTCGTCGGCCAGCGTTGTTTATTATATAACAGTAGCAAAACCCAGAGTTGCATATTTTCGTTCGGGGGTGGGGTGGATAAATATCTGGGGGGATGCTGCTTGCTTTGGCTGGGGCCTAGAAAGGCCAAGAAAAAAGTTTAACAAAATTTGTTTTCTAGGCCTGCATGGCAGACCATAATATTGTAATTTTACAAATTTAGTAGTAAGAATAATCAAATATGAAACTATCAAATCAAAATATATATAATTTGTGGGGGTGCAAAAACTATTGGAGGCGGTGCCAAATGCCTCTGGGTGGGGTGTAAATCATTTCTGGGGGGGGGGATGCACACTCCCCCAGAAAATCCGTGCCTGTCAAAGCCGGAAATAAAATCTAATTATATAATGCAATTTTTTAACCATTTGTATTATTCAAATATATAGGAATTCATTGTGACATGCAAATTCAATACCAGTTTTTGCAGGCCTTGAAATTTGTGTTATCCCTATATCCAGATGCATACTGGAAATCACAAGCTAAGTCTCCCAAGTGATACCGAAAAAATTCTGGTCAGAATACAAAAATAGTTTATTAATCAAATGTGAGATACTAGATTTTCTGGGTGGAATACCAGATTTTAAGTTGCTGGTATCCTGTTGGATACTGCTGGAAAATTCAAATTTGAAGCCCCGATTTTTGTGTTTCGCTTTGCTACAGTGGTAGTTGTTGCTTCTATGTTGTATTATGATTAGAAAATTATTTGT